GGGGCTTATTGCTTGCGTCAGCTGCCGGAGGGCTGACTTCGCGGTTACCATGCACGAGCTTAGGCGCCTACCAGAGACATGAACCCCTCGACGATGGACAGGACAGCACCATGCCAGCCACGCGTACAATGTTATCCACGCCCTCGACACCCTATGATGTGCAGTGGCTATTATCAGGCTATTCAGCTAGTGAAAAATCTTCTCATGGTGCTGTTTCTCGACACTAGACGTAACGAAGTCATAGCAGGCAGGTAGACAGGTGTCGACAGGTAGCTAGCGAACGCGCCGCGCCCAGGAAGCGCACCTTCGACATCTGCACGCCCAATGACCATGGAGAGTGGCGTATCAGCCAACGAAATTCAGACCAGCATGGCGGAAGTTAACGGCCGCCCATACTGCATCAGACCACTGGCTTCACAGCAGTGCGCTTGTAGAGATCGCCAGCTCCTGCAGGAACTGGTTTACAAAGCGTCTTGGTGAGCCGTCTAGACCAACGGCGGCGTAGTAGGCGGCTGCGGCAGTAGTGGGACGGGGGGTGTGCGACAGGGGCTTTATGTGCAGGCAAGTATGAGCTATGATTCATCAGAGAAGTGCATGGTGGACTGCCATGCCATTTCGCAGATATAATTATGCGAACACTCTATATGGGCATTAACTTCAGACTGGGCGCCACTGAGAGACATGGGTCAATTATACTCATGTCTTCAGAAACTAAGTGTCATATCAAATATGAACTTAATCACCTGGATTATGTCATCCTATGTTGAAGATGCCTCTTAACCCCCCTTTCTCCTTTCCTTAACAAGAATGATCATCGCGCGCTGGCCAAATTCGCTGCAGCAGAATGATAGAACCTCGATTTAAGTCACACCGCTCTTACTGATCAACAACACAGCAGAGACTATATCCTGGGCAGCCCAGTGATACAGTGCGTGGTATGTCACTGATGAGGGGATGACATAGACCGTCATTACTGAGTCGTTGCTACAGGACGTTTCTTTGCCTCGAACAGCCAGATGGTGGGCGAGGCGCCCCGCGTTGTCGTTTCTACCGAGCAACAGCCCACTTTTTGGGATGAGGCAGAACGGAAGCTTTGGCATGACTTTGAGCAAGGGCAAAACGCTATCTATGCTGCTCTCGAGAATGCTTATAACACCGCGACTACCGAGATCAAGTTCGAGCTTGGCGTCATCTCAAGCAAGCGAACACAACTAATCGAGATGAGAGATCGGCTCACGAAGGAGAAATGCAAAAGTCGACGCAGATCTTGAGGGTCTTGTCCAGGAGTACAATGACAAAATTACAAGTCTTGCCAAAGAGCAACATGAGCATCTGCAACGCAATCGTGACAGGATTCACAGGCAGGATCAGGTCATTCAAGCGATGCAGACAGTTTTCCAAAGTAGGCGAGGCATGCCCCCCCGGACTGACCTTGGCTCGGTTTCACAACCAGTGCTGCCAAACCCGCACCGAATGAGTAACGATGGGCCTCACTGGCACGATCCGATACTCAATCCCGATGAGCACACTTCTGTGGACGACATAGGGGGAGCTACTACAAGAGAGAATGTGTTGGATAAGCTACAGATACCCGCGGGGCCTTCGAAGCGATTTTCAACGTCCACACCGCCCCGCGAAGGCAACCAGAATTTAAGGGTTGATTACCTCAGACGAAGTCAACCGTTGTCGCAAACGAGTCCTTTGTCGAATCTCCGACGGATTTCGACATCGAAGCATGCAGAAGAACAGGTCGACACATCCGTTTCTCCTATTACAGGATCAAATTTCAAACCCTTCAATGGTATAGCTGTCGAGAGCAGATATGAGTCAACGAGACCCTTTGGGGCAACTTCTGGTACACCACCGAATGGGGCTAATAGTTTAACACTGTCGTCTGATACCTCTGGGCCCCCCGACATTTCCGGAAGTTTTGCGAAACCGATTTCACAACTAGCCGCTGAGCCATGTGAAGACATCACCCAAAATAACCTAGTGCTGAGACACGATGGCAATGTGTATACGTATCCAGAGCTTGTGGCAGGAGTTCCACTAGCTAAAATTGACCAGGACCATCCATACTGGGAGCCCGGCTGGAAACCACTGAAACCAGAGATTGAAGCACAGTTGGCCGCATGGCGGGAGAAATGCGCGACAACCGTCGACGGAGGAATCGTGGGCGAGCGTGGTACCGCAATAAGCCGAAGTAAGCGGCAAGTACAACGCGGCATCAAGATTCTTGAGTTTTTGGAGCATGGCGATATCAGTCCGTATCAGCTTGTGTCCAAGAGGTATATGCGGACGAGAAACGGCAGCATCACTTCTTACGACACTCTGTTCCGCCTGTGTGAGACGCTGTCCGAGCTGTCGAGGTTCAAACTGGACGTCACGCCGGTGGAGTGGATGCGTCACCGGCTGCATGAGATATTGGTGGAAAGGGGCGCGCATTTTAACGTTGCCACAGTTCTACACAGTTTCTACCACGATCCTAAGCTCATGACATTGCGCAGCAAGAACGGCCTCGGAAGCGTTGGTCGGCCATCCGGATACAAGGTACCCCACGGCTTGAGAAAACGAAAGAGCATGCATTCTCATGATGCTTCTCCGGCCAAGCGTCGGCCCGAACATAGCATGAGAGGGAGCGGGCCGAGCGGCCGGTCGTGCCGGCAGAGACAATGTTCATCCGGAACGGGGCGGCAGGAAGATGACTCTGCCATATAGACCAAACGTGTATTCTTAAGCATCTCCTCCATCCCCGGCTCTTCTGTTGGGGGACGCGAATGAGTAGCCCGAGCACAACGGATATATTTGAATCAAGACCTCGTAACAATACTAAAGGTACCTCCGAAGTGTTTACTGCGGATCGCCAGTGTGGTTTCTTCCGAGTCTGAACCTTCGCGCCGGCACTGAGGCTGATCCAAAAATTGGTACTCGACATCATTGCTGGTCGTCTTCAGCTCCCCGCTCTGGATTGTGATATGCGGGTCGCCGGGTTTGCATCCTGTCTCTGCTGCTCAATATCCAAATAAGAGACAAAAGGCCTGGCCCCAAGTATCGAGATGAAGGAGTGTCGATTGTCCCGTTCTTGGCGTGAACTAACAAGCCGCATTTGCATGCCGTTTTTTTCATGCCGTTGGATCTCTCGCTGCCTTCGTGACCCATAGTTCATTGCCGTAACGGTATAACGCTTCTAAGCAGAGAGACCCTCCGACGAGGGTGGATTTGTAGCCAAACTCTGAGAGGAGACTTTGCTCCTTCAGCGATGGCAATTGGCTGATTGACTTGTCCGGCACTGCCGAGGCACTTCCCCCGGAGTTTTCTCCGAGCCTTCGAGCGCATCAGTTTCAGCTAATGTGGCTGATAATGCTGCACCCTATCGTCGCTGAATGGCCCATACGAGGTGATGCTGCCGACTGCCCAAGGCGTTCGTTCATGATAAAACGAACGAAAGACCACCTTTTGGGCCCTTCCTCTGCACCGCTCAAGTGAAACGTGTGCTGTTTCTAAGCTCCGGCGCTAGCTTACTTTCTCCTCCTAAACCGGCTCTTGTGCCCTACAGAAACGGCAAAGTATTCCAACAACGATAATCCCATGAAGGGCGACTCAGCAGCTTGCAAAAGCAATTATTCGTACTACCGGCGATATATTTGGAATACTCAAACAGTAAAGAAGTTGACCTGATATTCATTTGCGTGGTGGCTAGTCAACATGGCCGGACAGGGGTCACGGATCGTGGCTCTAAACTTGCAGTCATCGAATACACACAGACGTCCTTGGGAGTCGCGGATATCGAAAGCTCCTCCAACCAATCCTGAATCACAATCCACACAGAATCAGGGCCCATCAAACGAGAATAAAGGTCATAAATATATTGAGGCAAGATATAGGACCCGGCTGAACGATCGATTCAGACGGTTACTCGCAATCCTGGAGCGACTGGAGAGCAGATCTGCGTATTCTGTTGATATAAATACTCGACATCGCGCAGTCACCAAGGGCATGATACTGACCTTGGCCTCTGACCACATTCTCGAACTGGAGGCACAAAATCTGACTCTGCAACGCCAGATCAACCAACTCAGCCAAAAGATGATCGTCAATGACCGGAAAAATGATTCTCTCGGGTAATGAAGACGTTGTGGATATTTGGATTGCCATTGTTCATGCCGCATCTGTGGCTCCATTGACATACTACATGTATTGGCCGTTGTGTACTTGGGGTGGGAATGAATATGCGAACTGGACAAGCTGCGGCAGGTGTTCCACATGCTACCTCGGGCGCAAAACAAAGTTGCATATCAGTACAGTGGCATATTAATACAGCGTAAAACAAAGTTGCACATCAATACAGCGGCATGTTATTGCAGCTTCTGTGCTCTTGAACCACATAAAATCGATGACAATTGTTGCCAGTGCAAGGTCAACCCCAACTCCCAAAAAAGAATGAGGTGTAAGGTTCTGGTTCGCATAGAAGATAAAAGAAAGAATCAAGAAAATTCACGAAAATCCAAGACAGTTCTTAGGCTAGATACACTCAGCAAACTGTCTGATGCTTGACCGCATCGCCTATCCTAGGCTGCTCAACTGCCATCCTCTGCTCTGTCCCGTGTTTCACAGCCACACGCGGCGGCGCCTTAACCGCGATGAGATAATTCTGCCCTGTCTCCGCTACGGCATGCACCACCACATCTTCGTCAAACGGCCACTCGCCGAAAAACTCGACGTCGTCGCGGGAGTCATACTCGACAAAGTTCTCCCGCTCACCGCTGAGACACTGGTGCGCAGCGGTCCATGCACTGGCTCGGTGCACGTACGCACCCTCTATTTCGACAGTTTGAGCGGAACCGCTCCGGTCAGAGTTGTAGTCAATGGTGGTTTGGACAACGTAGTGCAGAAACTGCGCGCCGTCGGGCAGGCAGAGCATGCCCTCATCCTCGGCCCCATAGCCCGTGTGAGGGCCGCTTTTAAGGCGGAGAGACTCAATGTTAGGGGTCGTGTCGATGCTAACAAGGAACTCCTCGCCGGACACGGCACATCCATAGGCGATGACACCTTCACCGTGCGGCCACTGTTCGAGCTCAACTGACGGTCGTACATCGAACTGGGCGAAATCATCGTCATGGAAGCCAAGTCTGCGCAGAGCGATGGTGCTGTATGCTTTTGCAGCACGAAGTGTGCCACGAGTGCCAAGGACGAAGTGAGAGCGTGTCCCGCCGGAAGTATCTCCTTTAAGGTCCACAACGGTGAGGAGAATGTGAAAGAGATCCTCAGGAATGTCGCTGTTTATGTCCATTGGGAGCATGCTTGAGTCGGACATTGTGTAGAAAGCGTGTAATAATGTTGCAATAGACCTCAACAATATGATACGTCCAAGACGCTGCGGTTTGGAAGAAGTCAGACCGTGTTGACTACCTCCAGTGGGCATGCAGCGCGGATGTAAGGGCTGGGATATGTGGAAGCGGGCGGCCTGGAAGCCTGCCTCAACTCCACCCGTCATTAACAGGTTCACTAGGAACCCATCTCACGCCACCCAACTGGCAACATCACGCAGAGCCCGGCTACGAAATTAAGGTTCATGGTTGGTTCCTATGCTCTCAGCCGCACGGATTGCGGCCATTGCACGAATACTTCAAAGGCAGAGAACAGGGACGAGTGCATATAAAGTTTAACGCCGCTCCGATGACAACTGTCCACAACTGAACCTAGCAGTGCCGCAGCACTGTTGGTCACCCCCACTTACATTGGCACCTGATCCATGTTCCCATCCATCCCCTCCTCACGTCTCACGCCTGTACAAGCTGTGACATACTCAGAGCTGCAATGGGTTGATAGATGACAATCCTGCGCACTAGCCCTACGAATATGTCATTACCAACGCCTTACACAATTTAGGCGCTTACAACTACTACTGTTGCTCGGCTCTAAGCGCGCGGTTTTGTGCCCCGGGGATCGCAGCGGGTATTAGTTGACCGGGAGCGCGACCGAACGGTAATAATTAGGCTCGCTTGAGATGTACCCGAGGTATCGCAAGCAGGGGAGCCAGTCGTGGAGAAACCAAGGCGTTCGCTACGGAAATCCTCGTGCGGAAGGGGCCGTGTCACACACCTGGGTAGGAAAACCGTGGGCAAAGGAATGCTTGATTTCTTCTATCTAATGAATGACCGTGGTCGGTAATTTATACCTATACTGGTTGATGCGCTGTTGGCCGTAGGCATCTGAGACATGGCAGGCAGAAGCAGAGTTGCGTGAAGTTATTCCCACCATGGAAAAACAGTGGTACTGTGAACGGTCTACGTGATCTAAGTGTCTGCGATGCCTTCACTGCGACAGGCCGGCTTGGTTGTTATGCACGACGGCTTACACATTCAAAAATCAGGCACATGGAGTGGACCTTATCTGGTGGTTACGAGGTAGTCCGCACGGACAACCATACCTCGATAGATGAACTTTGCTCCAAAATGCATGATCATATTTTGATGAAAACACAGGTCGTCGGAGTTGTTGAAAGATAGAGTCTTCGCGTTGGACGACGTTGACCGTCTAAAAAAGTCGGTCCGACATGTGAAGCAAGGAGCAATCCATATTGTGCAGCGTGCTGTGTGTTGCTGCAAATGCGTAACGCCTGATGCCTCGCCGGGAATGACTTGCCGTGTTTATCCCGCTTAGTGCTGCAGGATCATTTAGGTGTGGTGGCAGACCTTGCCTATTCCTTAGGGGGCATGAGCACTGTCGGGCGACCACCGAGGATATTTCCAATCTCGTACGATCCCAACCAGTGTGCGGCGTTGGGCCTCCTGTTCTGCCAGTCGGTATTCTGCTCCTCCAGTATTTTGATCGGCGTAAAGACAACTTCGGATCCCTGAATGCCAATGACGGCTGCGCTACTGGGATCCTTCTTGGCGCGATTGTGCGCACCGCGGCCAAAACTCTCGAGGTGCTCAATGCACTTGATAGCCAGCCGAACGGCATGACACCGGTCCATCGCCGACGGCACACCGCCCTGCTGGACATGGCCGGGGATGCTCACCCGACTTTCAAAGTGGCCGTGCGCTTCCTCGTGTATGATTTTTGCAATGAGCTTGGCGTCGTAGACGTTGCTGGCTTTGTCGTTGACGATGATCAACCGACCGGCGCCGGACTGTCCCCTGTCACCGTCAAATGCTTGCTCGAGATGTTTCACGTCAGCATTTAGCATCGCGAGGCTGATACCCTTTTCAGGGATGTAAACGGCCGATGCACCAACACAGAGCCCACAGAGCGTTGCGATATATCCTGAGCGGTCGCCTTGGGTTTCGACGACGAAGACTCACCTACGGGTGGCCGAGGCGGACTGCTTGATTTTGTCGCAGTAGTTGATCAGCTCGTTGAGGCAGGTGTCCGATCCTAGCGTGTACTCCGTTCCAGGGATGTTGTTGGAGATGGTGGCAGGAAGGAGACAGATTGGTATGCAGAGTGAGGGATACTCTTCTCTAGCCTTGCGTAGCTGCGCGACGGAGGTGAAAGCCTCGAAGCCCCCCACGATAAAAACGGCGTCGAACTCGTACTGCTCAATCAGATTGGCGACCAATTCCATTCCAGACTCAGAAGGCAGCTCGCAATTGGTCCCTATCTCCGAGCCGCCCTTGCTAGCCCAGCTGTCGACCTCAAGCCAATCAAACGGGCGCACAGAGCCAACTGGCTGGTCATCATGGTGGCGGGCAAAACCAGCGAATCCGTTATGAATAGCAACGGGCTCATGGCCGTTGCCAATGCAGTAGGCAACAGCGGCGCGCACAGCAGCGTTCATACCACCTGCGGGTGCGCCAACGTTGATGAAACCAATCTTCATTCTCTATTCACGGTCAAAAAGTAAACATAAATCACAATGCAACGTGCACTCACGCTTTTTGGGGGCAATTTTACATTGTCCATGAGAACATTGGTTGTTGTGAGATATGACTGGTACTTGCCAGCAAATTCCGCGTCCCGCAATGACATGGCCTTCTCGAAGTCTTCGGCCACAACAGCCGCGGCAAGCTCCTTCACGTCCTGTGTGGCCTTCATAAGCGGCCTGCGCACGAGCTTGTTTTCTTGGATAGCGATGAAGCACGTCCCCGTCTCGGATGTCGCCTCGAGAACGGCTTTGACGGCCTCGATGCCCTGGAGCGTACCAAGCATGCGATCGAATGCGACGGCAGTACCGCCACGTTGAACATGTCCGGGGGTCGTAATGCGGGTATCGAGACCTAAGCCTCCTTCGTTCTTATCTGCCAGCAGGTTCTTGATCTGCTCTGGGGTGATCTTGGCCCCGTCCTTGTCGCGGGCTCCCTCTGCGACAATGACGATAGTCTTCCGCTTGCCAATTTCGCGATGCTGCCCACGATTGTCAATGTGGCTTTGTAGGGAGCCGCGAGAAAGATGTCCGAAGCGAGTTCAACTCACCTTCTTGACAACGTCACGCATGTCCTCACGCCAGTCATTTCCAGCTCGCGCTCACTTACCTTGTGGCTCAGTCAATCCAAGTTCTCTGCATTCCAGCAGCGAACGGGGCAACAAAGAATGCTAAGGGTTAAGAAGCACTCTCTATATAATGCATATAATGCCGTAACATGCTTGCTGATAGGTCAGATACAGAGCTTACAACTCTTCCTGAAGGGAAGGATCTTACTACCGCGAAGCACCTTGAGAAGGGAGACGTGCATGCTGATTGTAGGTTTACCACCAAGTTCAGCTTTTCGTCCGCCCGCCAGGCTAACTTCTCTTAGCTTACTATGCTTGCGGCTGGCCCTGCGAAGGGTACTACTGCTACGATCCTGTTCCCTATTGCTATTACTACACGAACCCGTTCCAGTGCTTTTGCAGCTCCTCTTGATCTCCTGCGTGTCCAGGGTGGCGATCAACGCAACGTCAATCAAGAGGTTGTCAACCTGGTTGATGTCAACCAACTCAACTCAACTCAACAGACGCAATTCTTACTAATCAACCAACTCAATTTCATCACGGAATTGAGTTGGTTGCGTTGACAATGGTTGATTTAAGTGCCGCAGTAGTAGTAGTAGTAGTAGTAGTGTATTTTCCGTCCAGCGGCCGTGAGGCCGCTCAGGTCCCTATGGGGCACAGGACGTGCTGAGCTAGTGGGTCTGTCCTACGTTATCGATACAGGATGTGTGGGTCTCTCAGAGATTACCTCCTCGTCTCCCCTCCTCCCATCGCGAAAAGTAAACAAGCCACCATCCAGCATTTCAACGGCTCTAAGGCGCTCCAATTTGTGCTCGGTGCCCGTCAGCGGGTCGTCCAAGCGCGGCATCCAAGTTCCGTATTCTACTGGCCTCGAGAGAGGCCGTCGTCGGAGACTGCAGGAGCAGCCTCAATTGACCCGGGCGGGCAAAGGGTGGTTGCACACCCTCCGCCTGGACGGGTCGCAGTTGTGGGAAGCAACAAAAGAAAGAGAAAGAGAGGACACCATCCGCCTAGTGGCGAGGACACGCCCATTCGAAGAACGAGCTTGCCTTCGCCAGCTGGACGAACTTGTCGAAGTCTCTGCCTATTGCACGATTGACTGCCACAGTCGGTGAGGGTGCCAGCCTCATCCGATGTCGTGGCAGGATCTTTCGGCAATAGAAGAGATGACTGGGCTCTTTTCGTCGGCCACATGAGCATGACAGCCGCGCGTCGTCGTGGTTGAATTTCTCGTGGTAGTCGGCAAAGTCTCCGTGACGAGACCGTGCCGCGAGCAGGTGGTGGAGCAGTGGTCGTGGGAGCTCTAGCTCTGGTGGGCAGCCGGTGGCAGGCTTGAGATGCAGTGGCTTGTACTGGTCGGGTGCAGAGGCGTCCCACCAGGCTTCAAAAGCGTCTCTGGACTGCTGCCGGGCAGTCCTACGCAAATGAGCGAGTGTCGGGAGAGCGTCTGCGGATTCGGGCAAGGAGGTGGCCGCCTTCGCCAAGGCGTCCGCCTTCGCCAAGGCGTCCGCCTGCTCGTTGCCTGCAATGTTGGTGTGGCCAGGGATCCAGCGGACCTCAGCGACGCCATGCGTCGTGGCCAGAGCCTGAAACTCGAGGAACACTTCCTGAGAAGAGTCCGCGGGCATGCCTCTCAGGCAGGTTGCGACCCCGAGATTATCGAGGCACACAAAGATGCGTCGTGGGTTAGGGAGGTTCAGTGCAGCACGCAACCCCTCAAGGGCGCCCTTGGCTTCGGCGTCGAAGACCTCAGCTGGGCCAAGGCGACCGTTGCCAGTCGTCAAGGTGAGCCCATTGCGATGAATCACATAACCGTACCCAGCGGCCTTCTCCGTCGAGAGGGATCCGTCTGAGTAGACGATGAGCGTCTCACGTGGGATAGACCGGAGCCATTCCAGGAAGTTTTCTGCAGACTCGTCTTTCGACGCGGTCTGTAGGGGCGTCGCGCGCTCGTCGAAACGTCGGGGGAGGAGCAGCGGTCGTGTGCTGCGAGGTAGCAGTTGATCGCTGCGTCTGAGTCTAGTCCGGAAAGCCTCGCGAGGCATCTGGTACTTCAGCTTGATTGACCTATGGATGGTCGGCGGCTTCGGCTGCATTGTGCGTTTTGCCAGCGGGTGTGCCTCATCCACACGCTTAAGGGGGGCCGCGAAGCGCATCCGGCGAGTTTCGAGCAACTGGGCGATCGGCGGGATGCCACTCTCACGATGCAGTGCGGCGATAGGCGTCGTCCTCCAGACTGGCAGGACGGCACGCATAGAGTTGTGAAGCGACTTGTTCATCTTCCGCAGCACCTGCTGGATTCTAGAGGAGCCCTCTTTCGTGGGCTGGCTCCAGCGAGGGCTGCTCAATCCAGGGTGCCAGGCCTCGACGCCGTGGAGCAGCACTGGCTCAACACAGGCTCGGACGGCTCTTTGCATAGCGCTCGGAAGTGGGCCATGTTTGGTATTGGCGAGCCCTCGCAAATGGTGTGCCACGGCTTGCGCACTGGCTGTCCACTTCTCGACGTGGGTCCTGAACGTCAGGGTGCTGTCAAGCCAGATACCTAGCCAGCGCATCGCTTTTTCCGGGCGTCTCTCGCCTTCGTGGAAGATAGGCGGCGACACCTTGGGTTTGGTTCGGCCGAAGTGCATGACCTCGGTTTTTGCAGGGTCGAAGCTTATTCCGTTGGCGGCGCCCCATGTTACGAGCTCGCTGACATACCGCGACGCCCTGTCGGCCGTCATCTCCAGCGAGTTTCCTACGCATAAGATACCGGTATCGTCGGCATAGCCGAATCGACCCTTCGGATTGCCCAGGCGATAGATCGGCTCTGTATAGAGCAAGAAGAGGATGGGCGAGACGGGCGAACCCTGCGGCAGCCCGCAGTGGAGCGGGGAACTAGGTGTGGTAATGTCCTGATATCGCACGCACGCTGAGCGGTCTGACATAAACGAGCCAGCCCACCGTGCGAGATGCTCAGGCCATCCCTGCTGGCGGAGGCGGAGGATCAGTCGGTTGCGGAGGACGGTATCAAAAGCCCCCTGAATGTCCATTGTCACCAGTGTGGCGACCAGTCCGCGAGCGAACGCTTCTTCGATGTCGTGCACGAGAGCAGCCACGAGGTCGACAGCGGACCTCTTCGGCAGGGCCCCAGCTTGTTGCGGATGGAGCACACCATAGTGGATGGACGCCCACGCTAGGCGACGTGCGATGAGCCTCTCAAGACCCTTGCCTAGGCAGGAGAGCAGCGAGATTGGTCGCCAGGCGCGCGGTGTCGACAGATTCCGACGACCCGGCTTCGCTATCATGACCACCTCTGCCTCCCTGAATGGTTGCGGGTGGTGACCGAGTCGGAGACATCCCTCGTATAGACGACGGACATGTTCGCCGATGATATGCCAGGCCGCTTTGAGCATCTTAACAGTGATGTTGTCGGAGCCGGGAGATGTGTTCCCCGTGCGGATGGTCGCATCCTGCACCTCGGCCAGTGATACATCCTGGGAGAATGGTATCGCTCCAGTCGCGGCGACTGGGACCCACGGGTCGGCTATGTCGTCTTCTGAGGTTCGCCTTTCCAACGTGGCTCGTCGGAGGGCATTGGCTTTGTCGAGCTGCGTTTCGTGTACCTCGCCATCCACCTCGAGGGGGGGTGGTTGGAAGGCACCTGGCGACTTCAACCATCGGACGGCTTTGAACACAGACGCACTGTCGTTGAAGCCGTCGATGAGTTTGCGCCAGTATAGCCGTTTAGCTCGGCGGACAACCTTCTGGAAGTCCTTCTTGGCGAGCTGAACTTCGCGGCAAAATCCAAGGGGATAGACTCTTCTGATCGCGCGGTATTCCGCTGCGGCGAGGCGGCATTCCTCGGTCCACCATGGGGCGCTGCGGCCTTGCTTTCGGACGGGGCGACCGGCGACCTTCGCCGCCGCTTGGAGGAGGCGCACCAGGGCGGATGCAAGAGCATCAAGGTCGTCGGTAGTTGTCATCGGAGCTGGAATGTCCACTGACCCATACTGGACGAGATCTACGAACCGCTTGATCTCGTCTTCCGTCGTGACGCGGACTTTTCCAGGTGGTATTGGCGCTACGCCCACCTCAGGAAGAGCTATGCTAAGCGTGAAATGGTCGGAGCTTGTAGCCAGATGGTCCTCCACGACTGCCTCGGACAGCGGTACGTTCGAGAAGGCAAGGTCTATGGTATTCCCATGCGGGTTTGTGGGCACATCGGTCGGATTGAGCAGGCTGAGACGATTCTCTGCTGCCCAGTGAGCGATGTCGTCTCCTCGGCCGTCGAGACGACCGGTCTGCCAGCTGTAGTGTTTCGCATTGAAGTCTCCCGCGACCAAGCACCTGCTGGGCGGGCTCCAGGCTAGGAGTATGTTAAGAGCCGCGTCGAAGTCAGGCTGTCGGTAGCAGTTGACTATCGTCGTATTGTTGATGGTGAGCCAGAGAATGTCACGAGTTGTCGCGGGACGTCGTTGGTCAGCCGTTAGGCCGGGGCGTCGCCGGACGTATGTCATGACTCTTGGGCGGGTAGTATTGTTGGTCCAGCTATCGACTGGAGAAAAGGTATCATATGCTGGGTGAGTTTTGGTGAGACAGCGGCC